GTAGCACTTAAAATAATTGAAGATGGTGCAAAATTATTACGACAAGAAAAAACTATGATCGATGTTGAAGCACCTATAACTGGTATTTAAAAACATATAATTGTTTTTTTTTTCTTGCTTCATTTATTTGATTTATTATCGTATAAAATTTTAGTATGTGGCGATGTTCATGGACAATATTTTGATTTAATGAAATTATTTGAAGTTGGTGGTTCACCAGCTACAACTCGTTATTTATTCCTTGGAGATTATGTTGATAGAGGTTATTTTAGCATTGAAGTAAGAAAATAATTCATTTGAAAAGAAAAAGCTATTTTATGTTATATTTTCCATTATAATTTAGTGCGTTCTTTATTTATGGTCAATGAAAATTCTTTATCCTACAACATTTTTTCTTCTCCGTGGTAATCATGAATGTAGACACTTAACAGAATATTTTACTTTTAAAACTGAATGTAAGATCAATTAACAAGAATATCTATTTATTATTTATTTTATGTTTTCTAATATATTTATTTATATTCAGGTAAAATTAAATATACAGAACGTGTATACAATGCATGTATGGAAGCATTCGATTGTTTACCACTTGGTAAGATATATATTTAACTAATGAGATCTCATTCAACAGAATAATAGAGTCCAAGTACTTCGAAATGAAATATATTTTGTAAAGAAAAGAAAAAAAATAAGACAAAGCTCACGAGGGAAGTCCCCGAACTAATTCATTTGTTGTAAGTCAAAAACTATGTGCAACATTATTGATCTTATTAAGCTATGAGTATTCTATGAAGAGTTCGTACTATTAGTCTCTTTCATGAATATCTCCGAACATGATTTTTGGAATTTCGACTATATAACTTTATATAGAATCAGAACTAGGCCTTAACGAGAATAGGTTGTTTTTGTAAATGCTTAAGATATTTTCGTCTTTCTTATCTTAAAGATATGGATATGGTAAAAGAGTGTTGTTGACAACGACAAATTTGATATAGTTATTTTAAGATAATAATGCATAGAAAGATCTAAAGCTTTCATAACAAGCTATTTTTTATTTAGGCTTATCTCTATGTACAAATTTTCAAGTCGTAATTCAAAAAAATTAATTTTTCATAGTGTTTTTATGATTAATCACGATATGGACTTGAAAAATATTTTCATATTGCAATAAACTGAGAGCTCGAACTGTTTTTTTTTCAAAGTATTCAAAATTCATTCAAGTCTATATAACTTAAAATTGTCCAGACTAAACAATAATTAATCTGTTGGAAGACTTCCTTCGTCAGTCGGAAGCTTCACATGATGCAATGTATTATTTTGATCTAGGATTATAAACTAAAAGTATTAGTAAGAACAAATGTTCGATTAAATTCTTTGAATTAATTTTCAAATTCTGTTTCTTATATGAAAATGTCACATATGTTAATAAATCATTTTATGTATACGCTACACTGCTTTTAGTTATTATGACTGATCCAATTTTCGTAGTAAATGATATTGAGAACAAGTTTTTATTCTTTTTCTTTTGTTAACTTCAATCTTCAAAATATGTTTTGTACACTATGATCTTGTTTTGTTATTTAAAAAAAAAAATAATAATAACATATTTCTTCTAGCTGCTCTTATGAATGGTCAATTTTTATGTGTTCACGGTGGTCTTTCACCAGAAATTCATACACTTGATGATATTAAAAAACTTGATCGTTTTAAAGAACCACCACCCTATGGACCTATGTGCGATTTATTATGGTAAAAAGTTCTTCTATAATAAATAAATCAATTTAATATAGAAATTTCTTTTTTTTTGTTTTGTTCTTCTTTAGGTCTGACCCACTTGAAGATTATGGTACTGAGCGAACTACAGAACAGTATAGTCACAATACAGTGCGAGGTTGTTCGTATTTTTATAGGTTTGTTATTATTATAAAAATTTAATTGTTAAAGTAATATTTTCTTTTTGTGCTTGTACAAAATAGTTATGCTGCGTGTTGTGATTTTTTACAAAATAATCAATTACTATCCATAATTCGTGCTCATGAAGCCCAAGATGCAGGGTAGAAAACAAAAAAAAAAACTAATCTACTTAATATTTAATAATTTATTTTTGAAATCTAGTTATCGTATGTATAAAAAATGTCAGAGTACCGGTTTTCCAAGTTTGATTACAATATTTTCTGCTCCAAATTATCTTGATGTTTATAATAATAAAGCTGCTATACTTAAATATGAAAATAACGTGATGAATATTCGTCAATTTAATTGTTCACCTCATCCTTATTGGTTACCAAATTTTATGGATGTATTTACATGGAGTTTGCCATTTGTTGGTGAAAAAGGTAAAATTGATTTATTTTTTTTTTTTTTCTATAAAACAAAACACAGAAATTATTTGTTCTTTTTTTTTTATAGTTACTGAAATGCTTGCTAATGTTCTTAATATTTGTTCGGATGAAGAATTAGAACATGGTAATGCACAAGTTGATGATGGTATGTTAATATTTTATTTATGAAATCAATATGTAATCTTTTGTATTTTTTTTTCTTCTTCTTTTGTTCTAGTTGATATGACAAGTGAAGGTACGTAGAATAGAAAATATTCTCTAGAGAATGATGCATTTGTTCATTTTGTTTTTTAGCTGCATTAGCGGCACGCAAAGAAGTGATACGTAATAAAGTACGAGCTGTTGGTAAAATGGTTCGTTATTTTGCAACATTAAGGTAAATTTTTGATGTTGTTCCTATAATAAAAAGTTGTTTTTTTTTTCTTGTTTCATTTCAGAGAACAAAGCGAAGATATTCTAACATTAAAAGGATTAACACCAAGTGGTACATTACCATTAGGAACACTTGAAGGTGGCAAAACAGCTATTGATCAAGGTATACGAAAAACTTTAGATTTAGTTTTTAGAACATTATTATGTGTTTTGTTTTCCCATTTTAGCTAAACAATTAATTGCTAATAAAAAGAAAATATCATTTGAAGAAGCCAAACGTTTAGATAAAAGTAATGAAAGTATGCCACCATGGCAGCAACTTCATCCATCATCATCGGGTCTTACATCGGGTATTGGTTCGAGTGGTACAGCATCATCAAATAGTGGTACATCATCGCCCCGTACTGTTGGAACATCAAATTTTTCATCATCTGTAACATCAACTGCATCATCATCATCATCATCATCACAACCAGCTAATACATTAGCTGATGCATCATCAGGTGTAACAACAAATTTATTAATGGATTCAACAAATACAAATTGTAATGGTAATGATAAAACATCTGGAAAAACTACAAATCAACAATCATCACATAATCGAACCAAGTGAAAAAGATAAATTATTTATTAATAGTCTTTTCTTTTCTTTCTTTTTTGGCTCTTTTTCTCCTAGCGTGAATTATTTGCATTCACTGATATAAATACGTTTTATGAAATGTTGGTTTAATTATCAGCAATTTCATATTCACTTTCTTTTTTTTTTCTTTCTTTTTTTTGTAAAAAGTTGAAGGACTACTTTTTTTTTTTTTTTTTCGTTTCTCTACGTGCATGTCTAACTTTTTCGTGATAAAACTATAACTTTTTCTTTTGTCGTCGGTGTGATGAGAAAGTGTGTGTGTGAGTGTATGAGAGTGAGATTGTCTCCTTGTATTAGCCATATTTTTCTTTAATGTTGTTCTGCGCTATGCTTGCGTCCGCGTTTTTGTTTTATTTTTTTTTTCTTCTTTTTTCTTTTGTTTGCTTCATACTTTCCACGATTACAACCAGCAAGATCGCGTTTTTTTTTTTTCTTTTCTTTATTTATTTGTTTGTTCGTTGTGAGCGATGAAATTCCTACGTTTTTTTTTTTCCTTGTCTTTTATTCTGTGGCAAAAACAGCATGACGACGATAACCAGAAAAGAAAAAAACTAGTACATGATGAGTTTGTTCAATGAGAAGAAAAAAAAAAGTTTTTACTTTAGACAATTTCAAGATAAATTAAATCTTTTTTTTTTATGTATTAATCTGTTAGTGAAGGATATCAAAAGAAAAAAACAATAAGATTAGTTTTTATGAATTTTTCAGTCGAAAGAAAGATTTTGTTGTTGTTATAAGATTGATAAGTAGATTTTAATATTTAGAAAATCTACGAATAATTCAATGTATTGAAAATCAATAGATAATGTTTTCATCATTGTTTTATTTTAAATCTCGTTTTCTAATTATTTTCAATTGCTATAAATAATTTCAACATTGGTTTATTGTCATTTTTCTCATGATTATTATGTATATGATATTCTATTGATATCAAATATAATAAATAGATACAATACTAAATATATTTCTAATTGATCTACACACTAATTATATTGCAACTAATATTTAATGTTGAAGTTCATTCTTAATCATGGGCGGGCCGGCATAGGGGCGAGAGGGGGCAATTGCCCCCCCCCCCCCTAAAAAAAATTTTTTGGCTGGGACTTAAGAAGAACGCCATGAAAACAAGCGTTTTTAAGCGAAAAAGTG